CAGAAACAGTTGTGGTTGCTACAAAGTGGTTGCCGAGCAACACACAAACGTAAACAAAGGTGTGTTACTTTGTAGAGTCATTTACAACAGCTTCGAACGCAGCTCAGCCAATCAGAATCAAGCACCGGAACTCTCCGCTTTATAAATAAATAATTTTAGGTTTTGTTTTAAAATTTCAATTTAGTTTTGTTATTTGACATTGCAAAAAAAAGAATTGATGAATGTTATACGATTAGCATTGTTATTTTCCTGTTTATTACTGTACTGTGTACACCGCTATAGAGACGCTAAGCAACATACACTATGAAATCACGGCTTTGTGATTAGGGTTGCAAAAAGGTGGAAATTTTGGAAACATTCCAGGATTTTTTTTGGGAATATTCCAGGGATTTTTGGAACATTTCCGGAAATGTTCCACCCCTTTTGCAACCCTATTTTGTGATTGTTTATATTGTGGCAAAATGTAACTATATCATCGTCTAGCATTAATCTGCTAAAAGCGACTGTGACATAAAGGTATTATAAACATTAACATCATGATTTTCGGTAAAGCTGCATTGAGACAGTGTGTATATAGATATTTAAATGTGCTAGACGTGACTCCAGCGCTGCTCCTGTCTTCCGCAGCTGTCGTCGTCAGAGCCCAGGCATCAGTTCTACTCGGACATGTCGTGTCCCGTGTGTCTGCAGCAGGCCGTTCTGCCCGTGGAGACCAACTGCGGCCATCTGTTCTGCGGTGAGACTGAGCTCAGGTCCAGTTAAACATGAGCGTATCTGCTGATCTGTAATCACTTCTCTCTGTGTTTAACCGCAGGGCCGTGCATCATGGCGTACTGGCGCTACGGGACGTGGCTCGGCGCCATCAGCTGCCCCATCTGCAGGCAAACGGTAAAAGTCCACAAAAATCTCTCATATACTCAAGCTCAGCGTGTCTAGCAAAACTCCCCTCAGTGTACACTCAGACTTCTGTCACGTTAAAGCATCATAAATAACCACACAGCGACTCCAGTGTTTGTATTGGTTTGTCAGGTGACCCTGCTGTTCCCGCTCTTCCGTGACACGAGGCGCAGCGCTCAGACGCAGGAGGACCAGGTCGAACCCGCGCTGATCCTCAGAGACATCCACGACTATAACCGCCGCTTCTCCGGACAGCCGCGCTCCGTGAGTGTGAATCCAGGCCGCACTTCTCATCTGTGAAACGGAAGATAGACATATCATATAAGTTTGTCGCTTTTACTCACTCTCAAGTCCTTCCAAACCTGTATAAGTTTCTTCAAAAGTGCTTCCATAGTGGGTTTTTTTCCATACTAAGGAAGTCAATGGGGACAATCGACTATTTAGTTACCAACATTCTTCAAAATATCTTCCTTTTGAAGTACAGGTTTAGAACGACTCCAGGGTGAGTAAATGCTGACAGTGTTTATTTTTTGGGTGAGCTGTCCCTTTAAGAGGCCAGTTGCTTGTAGTGGTCGATGAAACCCACAGTTTCTCGATCAGTCGACGGCTGGGAAAATAAAGCTTGAGCAGTAGAGCAACTACAGGCCGTCTGGTACTTGTTAAGGCCCTGATAGACTTCGAGAACTGCTGTGACGTCATTTCAGACAAACTCAGGCCAAAAGCGTCTTGCCAAAGCAAACTTTCCAGAAAAGTTCTCCCCGACTGGTCTTATGTAACTGGTAAAAACAAACAGGCGATTGTTCTTTCTACTGGCTTTATAGTAATTCTAATTAAAAGCAGTTTCTTCATGTTTTAGTACTGGTTTAAAGCAGTCTAGTGTATAAGTGATGCCGCTTGACGGGCCTCAGGAGAACACTAGCATGTAGAAGAGCTCTCAGCTGACCGTGTGTGTGTCTGTGTGTGTCTGTGAAGCTGCTGGAGCGTCTGCGGGACGTCCCGACGCTGCTGCGGCATGCCTTCAGAGAGATGTTCTCCGTCGGAGGCCTCTTCTGGATGTTCCGCGTCCGGATCCTGCTGTGTGTGCTGGGCGCGCTGATGTACCTGGCCTCGCCGCTGGACTTCATCCCCGAGGGAGTGCTGGGGCTGCTGGGCTTCATGGACGACTTCTTCGTCATCCTGCTGCTCTTCATCTACATCTCCATCATGTACCGCGAGGTGGTGACGCAGCGGCTGGCCGGATGAGCGTCTGATCTCTGCTTTAGCCTCCGCTTCGTCCTGCTTCATGAACTGAACACGTTTGATTAGTCCTCATAAAGCGCTGGTGTTCTGTGCTCAGCGCAGCGTGAAGAAGAACAAACACACGAAACATGAGAGACTTCTCTGCACTATTACAGATGTGTTTGATACGACAGAGCTGAAATCTGACGCTCGGACTCGTGCTGATGTTTGTACGTCTCACACACACACCAGTGTCTTCAGTCTCTCATCTTCTCTTGACGAAGCTCAGATGGTGTCATTCAAACAGGCCTGATATCTGCATTAAAGAAAGATTCTAGAAAATGACAAATTCTGAGTTCATTGTGTTTTTGATGGTTTTTCTGAAGTGTTGCAAATGAATATTTGTTACACTAGAGTTCAAGAAGCAGGCAAACAGCTGGAGAACAGTGGAATAACCATAAATTAAAGAGCTAAGGCCATTCTAGTGAGTTTACCAGAGTAAATAAGGCATGCAACCTCCTGGATCACGGTAAAATGACTAGAATGCATTTTGGGAGGATTGGGCCAATTGCCACTGTATTTCAGCTCTTTGAAACCATTTCCCTCCTTGATGTTTAATTATGAAAAGTCACGAATCACTTTTTTCAGTGCTAATAGTGTGTGTGTGTGTGTGTGTGTGTGTGAGAGAGAGAGTGTGTGTGAGAGAGAGTGTGTGTGTGAGAGA